CCCGGGCCCTGGGCCCCACCGCGGGCTCACTGGGGCAGAGCTGGTGCCAGGGGGCCCCTGAGCCGCCGCAGACGTGGGTCGGGAGTGGGGCGTCGGCGTCAGGTTGCCGCGGCCTGGACAGACCCAACCTGCAGCGGCCACGTCCCCCCACCCCGGCCACGCAGGGTCCCCAGCTGGGTGCACCCAGAGAGCGGCGTGGGGTCCTCGCGCGGCCGGGCGCCGCGTGGACAGCTGCGGCCTCCGTGGGCAGCGACCTGGGCAGGTGCAGCGCACGGGCAGCCACTGGACAGACCACGCCGCTCTCGACGTCGCCCCGCTGCTCCCAAGCAGCCCCTGATTTCATTCTGGGGGAAACGGAGGCTGCCTGGGGGTGAGGAGCCCATGGCCGCACCGCCCCACCCCCACCTCTCCCTGGGGTGCCGCCCCGCCCCCACCAACGCACCCTGCTCCCCCCCTGCAGTCCCCCCCACCGCGGCCTCTTCAAGGGGCGCCCCGGGCACCGGGGCTCACATGCAGGGGCTGGAGGTCACTGCGTGGTGCCCACAGCATCCTTCAGAGCCCAGCGGCTGAGGGTGGGCACCAGTCACTGGACCCCGCAGCTAGTGCCCCGGGAGGACCTTGGGCTCGCGGCCACCTGTGCACAGGCCTCTGGGGCCCGGGCGGGCAGTGGGTGAGAGGACAGGGGCCGAGGCGGCCGCTGGGCGGGGTGAGCAGCGGAGGCCTGTCCCGGGCTGGGGGCGTGGACCGTGCTGCGGGGTGCGGCCCGGCTTGGGGGTGCAGCCCTGCAGGACCTGCTGAGACTTCTCACCTGACTTGCCCTTGCGCGCGGGGCTCAGAGAAGCTTCCTGGAGTAACCCCGGGCGGGGGGTGAGGGGTGAGGCAGCTGCGGGCGCAGGCCGGTCGGGAGCCGTGTTCAGGTCGGTCACCGAGCCGTGGCCGGCGGAGCCAAAGCAGCGAGAAGGCCGAGCCCGGCGTCCCTGGGGCAGCCCCGGTGCCCGGGGCGGAGGACACGCTGTGAGCTATCAAGATCCTGGGCCTGCGCATCCCGGCTGGGGGGCCCCGTGTCCATCGCGGATTTTCAGGCTGACTGAGAGCTTCATTTCCGCTTTTACACTACGATGTCGGAGACCAGCTCCAGCTTTTGAGGTGTCTGGAGGCAGCACAGGCAGGACCCTAAGATGGAAGGCGTCGGCGAGCGGAGATTCCAAAAGGGGAGACCGGAGCGGGCGCGAGGAAGACACGGAGTCCGGGAGGGTGCAAGTCTCCCGCCATCCCCTCCGCAGGCCCTTCCTTACACTGTGTGGCACGTAGTTCATGGCAGCAGTGCCCAGGGTGAGTCAGTGAGATGTCTCCATGAAACACCCTCCAGGACAAGGGGAAAAGCATTTTCCCTTAACAATTTATGGTGTAATAGATGATACGTTGTGTGACAGTTATCTACAGCTGTCTAGTTATCGTCAAAGGAAGAGGGGTCTGGGAAAGGGGGAGCTTGTCAGCAAAAGGTTGTTGGGGTCTTGGGACAGTAGTGAATTGTGTGAGCAGTGTCATCAGGGACTGTCTAAGGAAGAGCTCGTGGGTAATTTGAGGCTGGCAGAGAGTTAGTGCTTGCTTTACAAGGAGTAAATTAAGAGAAAGTCGTACAGTTGTATATCAAACGACACCTGTGTAGTCAAGGTTAAAATTTGTCCATGAGTCCTTATGCCCTGGGAGCTTTACCTGAGGTTTATTTTTATTCAGAGAAACCAAGGAAGCTTCCCAGGAGTTTTTTGTGTCCTGGGGTCTTATTGCTCCTGGGGCTTGGCTTTTGTCTCAGGATCAGAGGAACTTCTCACCCTGGGGCAGCTGGCCTGAACCAGCAGCCGCCTGTGTGGCTAAGACAATCCAGTTATAAACTGAATGTTGCTCAGAATATTCTGATATTATGTTTATACAAACAAGGGAGGTCATGACATAAGTTAGCAGTGGACAGTCTGATTTCTCAGAGCTTGTCCCGATCCACCCGGAATCTGTCAGACGATGGACGTTGCATACGACACTTGTTTCCTCCCCACCCCTTACGCTCCTGCTATGAGTGAAACATCTGGTGTTTTTCTTTTCTTCCTGGCTTTTTTCACTGTCATCCCTTCCAGTCCATCCACGTTTATCCTTTTGACGGCCGACTAATATTCCGCCCGGATATGATGTATCGTCTTCCTGCTCCAGTCATCTACTTTTGGGCTCTGGGGTTGGCTCCACATCTTCCCCATTGAAAACAGAGCAGCAGTGAACTGGGGGTGCAGGTGTCCTTTCGAATTGACATTTTGTGTCCTTGGGTAGATCCCCGGGAGTGGGACTGCTGGGTCAAATGGGCGCTCCGTTCTCAGCAGCCTGCGCAACCTCAGAGCGCTCCCCAGCTGACCAGATGTTCTCGGGGCACCAGGAGCAGCAAGCTTGCGGGTCCCTCTTTTGTTAGGGTTGAGAGGAAGGGCCGCCCCCTGGCCCCCACTGCTGCTGTGGCCTCGGCCAGGCGCCCCGCCCGGCTCTGGAAGTCGGTGGCTGACCGCAGAGAGTAGCCAGCACTGTCAGAAAGTCCCGGCAGCGGACAGTGTGCCGTCACTAAGACACTGAGCCTCGACCGCCCAGGCGGTGGCCGCCACGGGGAGACCCCGCCTCCCGGAGCGGGCCGTGGCCCACACTGAGTCCGGCCTGCAGGCCGCCTGCCCCTCGAGTGGGCCACGTTGGCTGCTCTGAGGGCGTGAGGCCGCTTGGCAGGGCGCCCCACAGTGCTTGGGGGGCCCAAGGCGCTGCCCCAGGGGCGCACGGGGCCGGGCAG